AAAAAAAAAAAAAATTATAGCCAAACACTAAAAGGGCATTAAGGCCAGCCTAATCTTAAATGTGTATCCAAAAAAAATAAAAATAAAAAGGTGAGGTCATAAGGGCAAAAGAGTGGCTTTTGATAGGATTCAGGTTGTCAAACCATAAAAGTGGGAGAATTTGACGTGTGAGCAAAAATGGCAATGGGAAATAATTATTTTTATTTAAAAGGACTTTCCCAACAGCACCTAAATCAAAGCCCTCCAATCTCTGTATAAACAATCCCTCCATATATATATATTAATTGAAAACGTATTGAGCTTAAATGACAGATTTTCACGTTTCGAATATTGACATAGTGAAAATCTATGCTCCGTGATGTTTTTTTTTATTATTTTTGTTCTGGAGTTAAGTTTAGTACTAGACATAAATAACTTAACACATATATTCATTAACTCAACACCCATATTTTACACGGGTATTAGTAATAGTTTATATTATATTCCTTCTGAGCTTGATTTCATGTTTTCTGCTATTGCTATTTTAACAAAGCACCAGTTAGAAATTGGAGGAATATTTTTCCAGCTTTTTATTCCCACTAGTAATTATGTATTGGAGATCATGTTTTTGAAACTAATGTAGTTTTTTTTGTATTTAATATCGAGACGTATGGTACAGGTGGCGGACACAACTTATGCTACATGACATTGTGACCGTTATTATTTGACATGATTATCGTCCTGGTGTGTGGAATGATTCCGTGAGAGTTTTCATAATAAATTATCTATCTTCTATTGATCTACATATGTAATTAAACGATAACTAGTACAAATCCATGTGTATTACACGAGTGCTTTCTATTTTTTTTCTTAAAATTTAAAACTAATGAGAATAAATGGTTAAAAAGTTAAATATTTTTATAAATAAATATATAATATTGAAGTGAATAAGATTCACCCGGGCTCCTTCAACTCGAACCGGCCTCCGTACCTGCAGAACCCAACGCCGGGTGGCCCCGGCGTCGGGCCTCCGATGCCTAAGTCAGTGCTCGGATCAAGAGAGAGATAAAGTATAGTAATGTAATGAGGAGAGGATAATAATGAGGTACCTTGGCCCCCCTTTTATAGGGGGAGTGTACCTTTGTGGGCTCAAGATGAGCTTGACCCATAATGTTGGGCTTGGACGTCTTAGTGGGCTTATCTTCCAAAATGTATCCGCTTTATCCATTTAACCGGGTCCAGTATAATATCCTATATCATCTAGTCTCCTCCACTCTGGTCGAGTAAGCATAACTCGATCCAAGAGTGAAATGCCTCTACGAGTTGTTTTCTTCAACTTGTCACTAAGATCGAGCATCGCAAGTCGAATAACCATTGAATGACCACTGAAATATCCTCCAAATGAGCTTTGAGATCTCAAGATCGAAAACCAAAAGACCACGGAGGTCGGAAACTGAATGATCTGATATCGGGGTCAAAAACCGAATGATTT